GCGGAACAATCACAAAGTTAATAGCGAGGCAAAATGGGTTCTGTAGGAGAGGAGTCGTTGAGGGACCAAGCCCACTTAGCACGTGCGTGAAGTCGATGGATTGGACTGAATTTTCACCGGAAAAGCTTTAATTCGCGCGGTGGACAACTTCCAAATCGCGCGGATCTCTCTCAATTTTCCCCAAGCCTTATCACACGTGAACAAGACCATCAGGAGTAGAAGTCATCTCGACGAGAGAAGCCAAGAATGGGGAATGTGCGATTGTAGGTTGTGACACATGAATCCGAACCCCTTCGCATAGCGCGCCTGGACGGAGATCCGTAGGTTGATGCCAATGAGAGGATAGAGGTGTCGCGAAGCCCCGAGGAAGAAAACAGGAGAGAAAGGTTAAAGAAAAAAAGAAAGAAAGAGAACCCGGTAAATAAGGCTGGCCATTCCGGGTTGCGAAATCCGAACGATTTGGTTCTTTCCAAGCATGAGTCGATTTGTTTTCATTTGGTTCCGATTTTCCGAGTTTTTATTCGGTAATTTTTCAGAATATTCCGTGCTGGGTATAATTTTAATTCCAGGATGCCGGTATCGATTTAAGATATAATTAATTATTTAGTCTACGAATTCCAATAGTAATGTTTCCTCGGCAGTATAACCCTCGCGATGTAATAAAACGTGAAAAGGCCACCAGAACTGAAACATATATAAAATTATCATCATGATCTCGATAATTAAATTGTATATATTGGAATATATACCCTTACCAGTGTACCATCATGAATTTATAATCGATTAAGAATACTTAGTGTTCTACAGAGCGGAACCATTCAGCGGACAATAATTAGTTTTTGGGCCCTTGGGTCCCTAAGTTCCGAACCATTTTGGGCCTTTCAAATTTGAGACTGTATTCAATTGGGCACCAACGGCCAAAATTTTACCGATTTTTGATTTAATAATAAATTGAAAGTTTTCCGAAAATAAATATTCGAGTGGGTATTTCAGTATTATAAGACTAAATACAGTATATATATAGAAATATTATATTTTATATCATATTTAGGTAGATATATAATTAAGATTACGTCGGAATTATATAGAGGGAGGAAACCAATGTAGTTTGAAATGTCTTGTAAATTTAATTTATATTGCGAATATGAATTAATTATAAACTAAGGTATAGTCTTATTCCTTAATTTAGAAAAATCTTAATTTTATGTGTAATATTTTATTGGTGATTATATCCCATTAAAATATTAATCATATTCTTATTAGAAAACCTTTTGAAATTACTTATACACTAGAGAGACACATACAATTATTATATATGCTGTTAAATTTAGAATATATTTATATATATAGATAGTTAAATTCTATAATTTATTGGTATGGTTTTTATTAATATTTTATAAATTATATCCTTATTCTAGAATTATAATATAAGATATTAAATTCATTAATCCCTTATTGGTAGCTCTTTTTTATTAATATTATAAATTTAATCTCATTCTAATTGGGAATTTGATTTTAATACTATTCTAATTATGATATCAATTTATTATTTTATTATATCAATATTATAAAAATCTCACTCTAATTAGAAATTTGTCCTTTAATACCATATGGTCCGACCAGTTTAATCGAACCGAATCACATTTCGGCCCGAGTTAGCTATTAAAACTAGAAAATAGAAAACTGGACCAGAATTGCTAGAAACTGAATAAACCTGGACAAAATCGATGAACCGAACTAGCCAAAAAATACGGTTTGATTCAAAATCTAGAAAGAAATTCTTGAAATTTCTTCTTCTTCAGAGCTTCTTTAGATGATAATTTCTTGACTCTCCTTTTTCATTATTGACTATGCTTTATTGTTGTGTGATTATTGAGAGCTTAGACTTATCAAAATCAAAAGAGTTAAGGGATTTTTGATTATGGGTTTATGGTGGACTTGGTATATTTTCTTTTTTTATGTATATAAGATCCATAAATGAAGGGGCTTGAAGCTTCATAGCAGAGTTTCCAACTTGTGAGAGGTTGAAGAGGGGTTTAAGATTGGCAAAAGAAGGGATTTTAATGTGATTCTAGACATGATAAAGAAGAGAACAAGAGAGTTTTATTAGAAAGTTTTGTGCATAATTGCAGTAAGAAGCAAAAGCTGTGTTGATGGGACAAAGACAGATAAAGTGGTTTTGACTGTCTAAGGGTTTGAGAGGTGAAGATATGAGATTTGAATTTGATTGGATGTTTATTTTTCTTTGAATTATTATTATTTTTTAAATAAAATAAATTTTTTCTATTACATGCCTATTTATAATGCATCTTTTTTTTTTTTTTGATTAACCAAACATATTTTGATTGGATGTTTATTTTTCTTTGAATTATTATTATTTTTTAAATAAAATAAATTTTTTCTATTACATGCCTATTTATAATGCATCTTTTTTTTTTTTTTGATTAACCAAACATATTTTTTCAGTAAAAATTAAAATTGTAAATTTGTGATGAATAATATTATACTTTATTGTCATTAGTTATTTTTAATATTAAATTAGCCATTTTTATTCTTTTTGTAAAAAGTTATTAGTATTTACAAATTCTATATTTTATTGTACTTAAAAAAATTATCTAAAAAAATTATATATAAAAATCCAATTGAACCGTATTTAACTCGGTTAAATCTCCCGGTTCAATGAACCTCTGACTTTACCGGTTCAATGATCAGTCCGGTTCTTAAAACACTGTTTAATACTATTCTAATTAGAATTTTGTTATATCATACCATTATATATACGTTTGTTTTTAATTGTTTTTGAGTTTTAACTATCAAGAATTTATTACTTTTGACTATCACGAATCTTTTGCTTTTGATTGTCAAAAATTATTAAATCAAGCTTTGCTAATTTTAAAATTATTGAGTTTGCAATCATTTATTCTTCTTACGGTAAATATAATCTTAACTTTTTCTATTTACAAATTAATAGAATAATTTTTATTTATATTTATTAAGTATGTTCTAGCAACTATAAGAAGTTTAATCTAATTCTAAATAGGAATTATTAAAGATTTTAATTTTATTTTTAAATTGTGTATTAATAGAAAAAGAATAAAGATTAATTTGTAGGTTTATTAAAGAGATTTTAATTTTTCTATTGTTAAATATAAAATTCTGATTAAATAAGAAGTAGATTATAATGTATTATATTAATAAGATTATATATGTAAGAAATATAAAAACTTTACGGGATTTATAATTTATTTTGTTAAAGAAATAAGCTGTTTAATTAATAAAGGATATAATTCTTCTATTTAAATAAGTATAATTTTATTGATACAAATAATAAATTATATTAATAATTATATATATTATATATTATATAAGATATATGTGGTAAAAATATAAAACTTTAAAGAATTTTAATTTTATTGGTTGCAAAAATAAAGGTAATTTACTTTTCAATAAATAAATTCATTAGTTTGAAAAAGAATAGGGAATAAACATCATTGACTTTTGTTAATATAGTTTGTATTAGTTAATTGAAATTTATATTCCCTTGACAATTAATACATGCAAAATGTTGGTTAATATTTAATAATATTCAATGCAATACAAAATGTAGTGAACTAACTGAATATATAAGATTTCTAATAATAATAAACTAATTAAATAAATTAATAAAGGGGAAGATGGAAAAACTACATATATATATAATATAATATATATATATTAAATTAATATATTATCAAGAAACGTAATGAAAAATTATATCCAATGCTTAATTAGGAAATGAAAAATTCTATGGAGAAGCTTTTGAATTGAAATCCAATATTAAACTCAATTATATTTATAAATTTTATTTGCAAAAAGGATTTAACTATTTTTATATTAAAAATATAAAAAAAATAAAATTTAAATAATTATAAATTGAAAATTCTTTTTCTTTTCTTTTCCTCATATTTCTTTTGTTTGTTTGTAATATGTTTAGCTACTTTTTTACCTTAAATATTCCCTCTTGAATGTAATTAATTTTTTTAATCTTAATCTGTTAAGTAAATTTCTTGATTTTAATTTTCAAATTTATTTATAAAGTTTTTTTAATTTTTTAAAAAAAAATTTATTTAAATCATGAATTGTAATTATTTTTTTAACATTTAAATAAAATTTATTTAAATCATGATTGTAATTTTTTTTAACATTTAATGCTTTTCTGTTTGTTTTGTTTAAGTTGTTGCATATTTTTAGTTTAAAAATTTATTATACTTTGATTTTAATATTACATCTATTAGTATGGTAATAAATGATAAATATTTAAATTATAACTCAATTGAAAATTTAATCTATCAAATAATTATATTTTCTTTGGCTACTATCAAGGATTTTTTTTATTTTTATTATCAATATTTTATTGAAGACTCTCTACTCTCAAGAGTTTTGTTGCTATTGCTATAACGAAAACTTCTCACTTTATTATTATTAATGATTGAGGTACTAATTTTAACTTTTGATTTTTTTTTTTATTTTGGTATACTATCACAAAAAAATTTTGAATTTGATTATCAATAATTTATATATGTATTTATTTTTATTTATAGAGGGATCTTGGATCAAATTGTTATTTATTTTCAACTTTGTAACTGTTCCATTTTGTTAAAAAATCTTTTGTAAAAAATTATTAAAATTTTTCAAGATATGTATGATAGTGGTTTACACTTATTTTTATACATATAATAATTATAACTAAAAATACTGAATTTTTATATTATCTTTGTAAAAATAATACAAAATATATTAAAAAATTGCAAATTCATTCAACGGATACGTTGAACGAGGATTGCACGTTATTGAACACCCCAGTATATTCGATAATTCCAAACACTCAATTCCGATAATCAATTAGAAATACTAACTAAATATAAAAGTTTTAACTCCTTTCCAACTCATATATGCTATAAAATATTCCAATACCATAAAACTACCTAAGTTATATTTTAAATATTATGCTTTCATGGATATACATTCATATATTTTTATTATAACAGCCGGAATCAGAACTAAAATAATAAATTGTATTCTCAGCAAAGAAGCACGAATTGGAATTGCATTTCTGCAAATCCCCAACAACCTGATTAAAAGGTTCAAACACGTGTGCACTTAGAACATGCCCAGTAAAGGTAAAACAGTCAGATCAACTGGAAATGAGAACTTGTCTACTTTCCTGATATCTGTCAATCTGGAAAGAGAATAAAAATGAGTGTCATACTAGGAATGATAACAGTTGCACATTTAATGGCAATCAAAGGGCTCAGAGAGATTCCAAGTCTTGGATGAAGAAACAAACAAAATCCTTAATTCTCAAACCAATGCGTCCCAGTCTTCATCCTTGGTTGGTTGATTGGCACGGCGAATTTCGCGGACACCATGGATAAAATCATTTTGGTATATCCTAGTCTGGCTCTCATGAATGATACCATCATTGGAATTGGTACGGCCAAGTGCATCGGAGAAGGCAGTATTAACCACACCAGCAAGATCAGCACCACTAAAGGCATCCGTCATGTTTGCTGCAAAGAAAACGGAAAATATCATGCATGTGATCTTTGTTGAGGACAAGTTTGAGGCAAATACAACTCACCTATCTCTCGAAGGTCCACATCTTGGAAGTAGCCCCTTCGCTCGTAAGGTTCTGTGTGAACCCTCAATATGTTCAAACGAGCTTCCTCATCTGGGAGGCCCACTTCAATGGGGAGCATCCGTCATGTTTGCTGCAAAGAAAACGGAAAATATCATGCATGTGATCTTTGTTGAGGACAAGTTTGAGGCAAATACAACTCACCTATCTCTCGAAGGTCCACATCTTGGAAGTAGCCCCTTCGCTCGTAAGGTTCTGTGTGAACCCTCAATATGTTCAAACGAGCTTCCTCATCTGGGAGGCCCACTTCAATGGGGAGAAGCCTGCCAGGTCTGTTTGACAGAAAATGTGTAACTCAATAAAATAGTAGAAAAAAGATTCTGCTGAAAAATAAAGGAAGAAGAAGAGGTATTATACATTTCGGAGGCTTATTAACTAATTAATGAATCTCAAAGAGTATTAATCAGTGATATCAATAAATTAATATCAGTTAGGCATCATTATGTCCTTCGTCTGGCTCCCTTATTGGTGAAGTCAAGATAACCTCAGGCTCATCTCATTGTGTATCTTGTACTTAAAAACCTTTTAAAACATACTGGATTGCTCAATGAAAAAGACCATAAATGAAAAACTACTGTCCCCAATATGTCACACAAGCAAGTAACAAATATAAAATAAAATAAAATCTTTGTACTGTGGTCCAATTTAACACATCAAAACTTTCACAACTATGGGCTACCCCTTGATCCAACAAAAACCTTTAAAATCAATCAATTATATGTTTTTGCATGTCTTTGTTTTTACAAATAAATTCTAAAAAATTTTGTGGAATCCATTTGTTCCAAAGGAGTTAGTAAATGGAAAATAATTAAAAGTGGGCATGGGACCACAAAGATTAATAAAATTAGAAAGAATAGGTCCTTTGGACTACTTAAATTCCTAATTCTTTCATTTAACATGCATAAATCGACAAGAAATAAGGGTATTAAGCAAGAGAAAAGCAAAATTATTAAGATATCACCAAAGAGATTGAATTTTGAGGGAGGGAGATTAAATTCACAACTTATACATCCTATGTATAAATTTTGGTAAAGTATCCAGTATACAATTGTACTGATGATAACGACAAATGGGGATTAAGAAAGAAACAGAATAAGAAAGAAAAATGGAGATTAAGAAATGTCAAAAGAAAAATGAGGAATAAGAAATGTCATTTTTTCAATTGGGAGCAAGCTTAGAAGTCAGAAAATTGGTGTCTATTAATATTGACCTAGTAGGAAAACCATTATGGTCCTTTCCACTAGAAACTCATTCTCCTTTGTATGAAGTTAAACTATCTTTCAACAAAAAGGATTGAAGATAGGCCCATGGAAATTCACCCTTTCTTTCCTTTTCCATAACATATATGAAGAGGTTCATAGTTCCCATATTTGTTTTTCAAGTAACATTGTGCCGTGACAACAAAAGCACAATGAACCATTTAAAAGCGATGAAGTAAATTAACACAAGAAATTTACAAGTTTAACCCTTTCCCTCGAGTTGCATCCAAAAATTACTAATTTCCACTTCATCTATTCACCCTCCCTCAGTTGCATTACATGTTAGAGCCAAATATATGCAATCATGTTACGCATTAGGCAAGTTTTTTCTCTGTATCACCTATAGACAAACTTACTATCTCCATACAAGCATCAGTTATATCTCAACCTCTAAAAAATCCCCAGAAAGAGCCAAGACCACAATGACATCATATAACCAGCCACAGTTATTTAGAGAAGTGTAATAATTTAAATGGGTCCTAGAAATCCTACTCTTAGCCAATTAGACATTTACAGAACTGCCCATACAATCAAACAGACAAGAAGTATAATCCACAAACAGCAAGAATCACAAAACTTACATACTGGTTAATTAGGATTTGACCCAAAATCCATACGAGGGATGGGAAAAGTGTTATCAAACGCAACCTTTGTGGTAGATTTATGATGTTAAAGTAATTAGTAGTTTAATTATGTCCGTAGGAGAATGAGAAGGACAAACTATTCTATTTACCACAAAGATGTATATTGTGTTACTGTATGTCGGCAGCAACTTGGTGTGACTGTGTTAATTGGTGTGAGTGTGTGAGCATGAGCATTGAGCTTATGGATCCAATTGTTGCTATTATAATAATGGATGATGGCATATCTGTGGATGTAGTCCAATAACAAGGGTTAGTATTAATGTCTAACAAGTGCTATCAAAAGTTGGAATGGCTTTCGTGCGAAGAAAGTAACGTGTGCACATTTTGGCGATGAAGACTCATTGATTTTTGGTATGTTTGAATTAAGGTGATGCTCTTGATCCAAGATCGAGCAAGTTGTTAACATGAAGAATATTTAGAATTTGAAGATAGAAGCAAACTTATATCCAAGGTAATTGAAGCTGAAGGTTGATGGATTTGAAGGTTAAAGCTCAATCACCGACATTCAATTATAATAAAAGACATGCAATAATATATTGTTCCCATAGTTAAGGAATTTGGAGTTAAGGTGGAGATTTTTTAGGATTTGACTCACAATCTATATAAGCTTGGAAAAGACTTTTCCAATTTTTATAGGAGAAATAATCCTTAAAGATATCCCCACGCAAAGTAAGATTATTTCCTATGTGGACAAGAACTCCTAATTGACTTGGATTTATAAGAAAATCAGTACAATAATTCAACCCAAAAACAATAATTATTTGAACTTTCAAAATCCTATATCAAATAAAATGAAACTGACTGCTGCAAAGTAAACTCATTAGAGGCCATATCTTAAGAAATAGGAAAAAGAAATTTCAAATAAAGCTGCTGTATGCGCTCTTAACTAAATATCCATGCAACTTCAAGAAAAATAACACCATTATACCTTTTATAATTTCCTAGAAAATTATACCATTTCTCATCTTCAGTATATATCAATATGACTTCAACAAAATTATATGGCCCTCAACTGATCCAATTACCAAAATTTATTATCTCTCTACTTTAATTAATCAACTTAACAGCTATTCTCATTTAAATTAGTTAACACTATTGAATTACAGAAATCATATCCATCTACCAGTAAAAGATCAATTAACAAATAATTTCCTTTCACTTAGTTGAAACCGTGCAGCCATTTGCTAAAACCAGCCTGCTCACTATTTCCCACAATTTCAAAACAATATGGGGAAAAGAAATATATCTTTTATTTAACATATGATAACTTGATGACTGAAATAATATTATGAAAGAGAATGAGTACCTCAAGAGTGCTTCATCAATTAATTCCTTCTTATTTGTTGTTCCAATAATAAGTATGTTATTCAGGTCCTCCACACCATTAATCTAGAAACAGAAAATTTTTTAGTGTTTAAGATTTCAAAATTGAACAAGGTTGGAGTAAATAATAAAATAAATAAATTACCATAGTCAGCAATTGGCTAACAATCCTGTCAGTCGCAGTCTCTCCAGGAGTTATCCCCCTTTTCTGAATAGAGAAGCATAATTAGAACAAAATTTCCATAAATCCATACTTCTGAACAAAATTTCCATAAATCTATATGTGCTAATTGCAAGAACAATATTTAGTATTTTACCCTAGCAATTGGCTAACAATCCTGTCAGTCGCAGTCTCTCCAGGAGTTATCCCCCTTTTCTGAATAGAGAAGCATAATTAGAACAAAATTTCCATAAATCCATACTTCTGAACAAAATTTCCATAAATCTATATGTGCTAATTGCAAGAACAATATTTAGTATTTTACCCTTGCAATTGAATCTAATTCATCAAAGATGATGATATGAAGGCCACTTTTCTCTCCTGAAATGTTTAAACCAAAACAAACTTACATGACTTGTCAATTAGGTAAGCTGAATGCAGAAAATGCAGAAAACTTATTGTATTATGCGCGCACGCACACAAAAAAACAAAATTAGGTAAGCTGAATGCACAAAATGCAGAAAACTTATTGTATAACACACACACACACACACACGTATTATATGAACACACCATATCTTCTAGAATCTTCTCTAGCTTTATTAAACAGTGCTCTAAGTCTGGCCTCTGTTCCACCAAACCAGCTTGACAGAACTTGAGGCCCATCAACAACCTACATTGATTGCAGAGCAATTTATAAGTTGCAAATCCAATTAACTATAAGAAATAAAATATAACAAGACAAAAATTGAAATCATGATTGCAGCTTCCAAAGAAAATCAACATAGCATAAATTTTTGGTTGTATGATGACATTGCAAAACGTATGGGAGAAACATATACTGCAGCATATGCACAATAACAACACATGGTGAATTATTTATTTGTTCTCATTAATGATATAGCCAACCAGAAATTGTTAAGAGAACCTGTAGCTATATTTTGTGCGCACTAGGCCATAAAGGCATTTTTCATGAGTGTGTGTGTGTGTGTGTGTGTAGGCACTTTTTTTCCCCATGAGTGTGTGTGTGTGTGTGTGATGTGTTTTTGAATGGTAGAGAAAAAAGTTAGAACTCAAGTTCGCCGGCGGCAAGAGAAGCAGAATTTGTTTGCTATTGGTTTTTTTGCTAACAACGTTTTTCCCAGTCCCAGGTGGCCCAAAGAGTAAGTATCCCCGTTGAACGGGTGACTGTTTTGTGTGTGTGTGTGTGTGTGTGTTGATGGTAGAGAAAAATAGACCTCAAATTCCTCGGCATACAGAATTTTTGCTATTGTTTTTGCTAACAACGTTTTTCCAGTCCCAGGTGGCCCAAAGAGGAGTATCCCCTTAACGTGACTTTTGTTCAATCTGAAACATAAGAAACAGTTAAAAATATAACTGTTACACAGTTTCGATATTAAATAAATCTCAGCAGAAGGTAATTTAGAGGGAATAAAAAATCAATATACAGATAAGAAAAACTATGTGCTTCATAATAGAAGTACTCGGCCATTACACCAAGACTCCTAACAACAAGTAGGAAACTAATATAACCATTGTTAAAGCGTTGCTTGTGCATTTCCATTTTCATTTACTATGTTAAATTCTTCTTGTTTAACCTTTTTCTTTTTTTTCATTTGGAAGTACTCACGTCAACAATTTCTAAATGGATAAGATTGAGCAATTTGCTTTATATGGAAACAAGAAGATCTATAAAAAATAAAATAAATACTTAAAATAAGCAGGGAGCAAAAATAAAAGAAAAAGATACAAGGCCAAGATTGTAAATATGCATGATACAAACAGAATAGCATAATTAAAAATATTACTTTTGACATAGCTCCAGATCGAGTGTCCGGGTAATCAGCACTCTCTCATATATTTTTCTAAAGATTTCACTCATCCCACCGAGTCCAAGAGTCATCAATTCTCTCTCTACTTCACTTAAATCCATAGTTCTTTGAAATATTCTCCTTATCGATACAGCTTGATTAAAAAACTGCAGAAAATATCAATTTTGTCACACTTGGAAGCCAAGGCAATAGAATAACTTAATAGTTACAAAAGAATTAAACTATGGAAAGGAGAGAGAGAGAGAGAGAGAGAGAGAGAGAGAACGTCTTAAGGAAGAGATGGAAAAGCATTTATTACCCTGATATTTTTACTCAAAAAGAGCATCTTAGTCATTTTATAAAGCATCCCTTGACTAGTCCTGGCACCATTGCTAGCCAAGATGATACGATTGACTTTGAAAGTACCTAAGATAGGGGCTTAAATGGCCCCAAACCACCAAATATGAGAATTATTATGAGTATTAGTTGAAGAACAAAATCTAGAGATTGAGAATTCTGTTACTAGGAAAATAAGATAGGGGCTTAAATGGCCCCAAACCACCAAATATGAGAATTATTATGAGTATTAGTTGAAGAACAAAATCTAGAGATTGAGAATTCTGTTACTAGGAAAATAAGATAGGGGCTTAAATGGCCCCAAACCACCAAATATGAGAATTATTATGAGTATTAGTTGAAGAACAAAATCTAGAGATTGAGAATTCTGTTACTAGGAAAATAAGATAGGGGCTTAAATGGCCCCAAACCATCAACTGTGATCTCATTGAATGTCCATTCATCACCAAGCATGAATTTTGGAATTAAAACTTAATAGAAAGCAATCATTGCCATCACATCAAATCAATCCCAAATATCAAACCAACTACTAGCAAAAATATTATAAAATTAGCTGCAAGAATACATGAACAACAAACTACTATAAGCTTATTTGCTACTATAAAGTCAGCATATATCTACCAATAACATGCTACAGGGAAACCAAACTTATTTGCTAATAGATGGATACATGATACAGTAAAACCATATTTATTTGCTAATAATAGAAATACAGATCGAAAATAAAACTTCAGATTCTTCATAATAAATTGCAAGAATTCCAACAAAAAAATTATTGGTAAAAGCTAAGAGCATCATTTTCGTGCTATCATATTTTGAATCAAAAAGGAAATAAAATGAAATATAAGCTTCCATTGAACTTTTACTACTCATGCCTGAATCCAATTAGGTCTTGATAATTGACCATAAATTACAGTAAGTTGATAACATGTTCCGACTCATAGATGTGCAGTCCATCTCTTTATGCTTCTTTGTTAGTAATGACAGAGCAAGAAAAATTCAATGGAAGAAAATTATTCGAATGGACAACATTAGAACAGAACAACTCATAAGATTTCAAGGTTGAACAGAATCTCAATCACCTAAACATATTAAGGTAAAGGAAAAAGGAAGAAACAGTAAAGGAGATTTCACATTTGAAATAATACTTAAGGCAAAGTACAATATAGTAAAAGCATTAAAACCTCACACTGTAATTTTTTAAGTGATAATCCTTATCATGCTTTCACATTTCTCATTAATCTTTCAGCCATCGGTCATTTCCCTCATTTTCTCCCTCATTTTTCTCCCACACTCCTTTTCTACCTCACTAATTTCATATAATAAACAGATTAACTACCAATAAGTGCAACACGCAGGAAAGAGTAAGGGCAGAAAGCCAGAAACCTGTCCACAAAAACTTTTTTTCAGCTTTTTCACCAAGTGCTTAGCATCAACCTACCAAAATAGAAATATATAACAAATATTCAATTAGATTCGAATTTAATACTAATATGACATATTTCCAAATAAGAAACATAACATTCAATTAGCTTTGGTATTTAATACTAATATAATATGTTACCAAATGAGAAACATGACTAAGCCATACCACTTTACCCTCAGGATGATTAATAATGTCCAGATCTACATCGAGCTCTTCTATCTTTTCCGCGTTGCCGTTAACCTCAAACCTTACCCATGATGAAAATGAAACAAATATCACCAACAAAAACTTCATGAAAATGAAATTTAGAATCACAACTTACCTTTCAACTGTCAGCTCATTTCCTATCTCAGTTTTGGCAAAAGCACACTGCTCCTCATTGAGGGCAATTTGATTCTCCATCAAAGAACTATCTTCAGTATATCGTAATCAAGGCACAAACAAAGAATTTCCCAAAACAAGTTTCAAATAAAAATATAAAATCTAAACGAGCAAAAATTAAACTTGAAAAGGATATCATAGGCTCAGAACCAAAAGGCCATTGATTCTTGCATAGGATTTGGGACTGCCAAAACTAAAGCAAGAAGGGCTTGGATTTTTTTCAGATCGGAACAAATTCAAAGAGTTGCGAGACACGCAAGCTTTGTTGGCGAACCGTTTGCTAGATTGAACTGGAGTGACCAACATCTTAGACTCCATGGAAAGAAGTCTTTCTTGGCTGGAAAGAAGTCTTTCGTATGACTGTACTAAAACTAGTATCTTGTAGAACAAAAATATGAACTTGACAGTACAATAAATAAGACTGAGTAGGGAAAACCAACCACAGGGAATCCAGAAACTTCAACTTCCCCTGACAAGGGCTCTGGCTTTTCAGGCAACTCGAGCTGATGATAGAACGGAATTCTCTAACGGCAGCACTCCAAAGGAGGAAAGGGCTCAAAGGTGATCTTCGACGGATAATATGTTAAAGAGAGAAGGAGAAAGAGAGACAAAAAACAGAGTGAGATATTAGAACAAAGGAAGAAATGAGCCGCAAAGCAATTTGCAAGATTGGTTTGGCACATATATATACACATAGGGCAGGTAAGTGGGCCCCCAAAGTGGACATAGATTTCTATTCAAAAAGAGAAGTGAAAAAGAATAGATTCTGATATTATTAACATGTAAAAAAAATATTCAAAACACTGTTTTGATTTTGTCCTGAAAATTGATTTTGCATGTGTCATTTGTTGAAGTGGAATTTATCATTCAACCTACAATTATAAGAATATAAGCATAGGCTCTGATAGTGAGGAGTGACACTCTTAGCCGGAAAATGATACCCATAGGCTCTGATAAAGTACTAATAAGATAAAGAGGAAAAAAAAAAAAAAGAAAGAGAGAAAGAGAAAGAGACATGCTAATGAGCAATTATTATTTTGCATAACAAATTAATTTTTTATTTTTGTTATTTTGAAAAATCTTAATTGTTTTAATTTCGCATTATAGACTTCCACATTTTTAAAGGACACGTCGACATTTTTATAAACAGAGGACGGCACCGAATCATTTTGACTTTCGATTTGTTTCTTACCCTTCCTCTTTCGCTATTTATACAAGTACGTTGCCATACGGACCCTACATCTCTTTGTTGCAACTTGCAAACTCTTTTTTCGACTCTTTGTAGCTCTGAACACCTAAAGACAGTAACTTCAACAAGCTCAAGCTCTCTAAAAAAATGGGAAGAGCGCCATGTTGCGATAAAAATGGACTAAAGAAAGGACCTTGGACTCCGGAGGAAGATCAAAAGCTTATTGATTATATACAGAAACATGGATATGGAAACTGGAGAACACTACACAGTAAACTTCAACAAACTCAAGCCTCATCTAAAAATGGGAAAGAGCGCCATGTTCATGGCGATAAAAATGGACTAAAGAAAGGGGACCTTGACTCCGGAGGAAAGATCAAAGCTTATTGATTATATAACAGAAACATGGATATGGAAACTGGAGAACAAACTACCGAAGAATGGCCTGGTATCCTTCGCTTTTCATTTTCTGCAGTGACATGGATATGGAAACTGGAGAACACTACCGAAGAATGCTGGTATCTTCGCTTTTCATTTTCTGCAGTTGAAAGATTTGATCATTTTTAAAGTTTTTTCTTTCTAATTTTTTTGCTTTAATGTCTTTGTAGGGCTACAAAGGTGTGGAAAGAGTTGCCGTCTTCGTTGGACTAATTATCTAAGACCTGACATCAAGAGAGGACGATTTTCTTTTGAAGAAGAGGAGACAATAATTCAGCTACACAGTATATTAGGAAACAAGTAAGCCTTTCATTATTATATTTATGTATTTGATTAAGTATATAATTTATATTGGTTTCTAAACATGTTTTTTGCTTTTTAGATTTAAGAGTGTAATTATTTATACTAATTATTTATACTCCACCACCTCATATTTGCATTCATTTACTAACTTGTGGATTAAATGAATATGAATTCTAAAGAAAGCACATAGGAAAACTATTAAAACTATTTTAAAAAGGGACATATATGAATTTTATTTATTTTCTGTCAAACAATTCATACTACAAGCATATTGAAAGTTTACTAAAGGAACCGGTGGTTTAAGAGCCGGTTAAGTTTCATGTGAATGTTAAACTCTGAATCTGAACCGTCGGTGAATTGGCGATTTCGGTCCGGTTCGAATCGAAAATTTTCTATTTTTATTTTCAAAATAATAATCACTTAGTATATTTTATACATCTCTAAAAGTCTCAATAATATTTTACTACATGATATACTTTACTTAAGTTTTTTTTTTTTTAAATAGACTTTATTTTAAAAGTTAAAAATCTAAAAAGTAAAATGGTAAAGAAAGAGAAAAATATTTAGTCTAAACTTATATTGTTTTAACTTTTTTTTTTACCCTTTTAGATTGTTTACTAAGTTTAAAATTACATTCTTTTGAAGCATTTTTCAAAATTAATTACATTCTTTGAAGCATTTTCAAAAATTTTCTTATAATTAATTTATTTAATTAATAACATTTAAACAAAATAAAGTGAAAAATTATTTGATTATTTTGTAAAATTAATTAATTTTATTCTTATATGACTATGAGCATTCTAAAATTTATTTAAAATAAAATTTATCAATATTTTTTAAACTCATATTAATATTTTCGAAAGAAAGATGTATCGTTAGAACCAATTTTTTTTTAAAAAAAATATATCATCGAAAACCGTGATTGGAATCGTCTGTTTATCGGAACCAGAACCGGTGGTTCAAGGGCCGGTTCAGGTTCAACATTTTAAAAATTTTAAACCGTCAGTTCTGATTCGGTTCAATGAACCGGCCATGCCTATTTACCAAGGAAGAAGAGGGCAATTTAACAAACAACTAAAGGCAACGGGAAAAATATTAGGCTAAATAGTTTCAGGATTTAAAAAATGAGAAGTAGAAAAGAAAACCACTTGTTAACGATAAAAAAAAATTACCATATTTCAATTTAAAAACTTCAAAAACATTATTTATAACTTTCACAATTAAAAAAAAATAAAATATTACAAAATAAATTTACATATTTTTTATTTTGAAAAATTTTAAATATTTATTATCAATTTATTTATAATAATTATAATATCAATTTTTTATATTCATTTTGTAAATTTTACAAATATGATATATATAATTATAAATATATTTTTATGTAATAATAAAATTAATTATATATTAAAGCATATATAAAATTAAAAAAATGAGAACATTTAATTAAGTTATTTAGATATTTGGAATAATTTTTAGAAGCAATGAAAGGTTTGAAAACTTCATCCTTAATCGCGCTTATAAAGGATCGAAAACAATTGTCTCACTAGCCTGTGAGTTGGAGAGTCTTGTCTGAGTGTCGAGTGTTTGCTTTTATTTTATCATGGCTTCAAATACGTCTCAATCCTTTGACATTTATCAGCGGCTAGTTCATCTTTCAATTCGGGAGGAGTAGGAAGAGGGAGGTTTGGAATTGGATGAGAGTAGAGTAGAAGAGGACTAATTGAAACCTGACTACACACTGGTAGGAAGGTTTCTAACTGATAGAAACATCAACTTTCTTGCTATGAAATAAACGTTGGCTTCCCTTTGGAAACCAATTCATGGTGTTAACATCAGGGAGATTTCAAAGAATTTATTTCTTTTCCAGTTCCTAGACGTTGCTGATACGAACAGAGTTGTGGAGATGAGCCCCTGGTCATTTGACCAGCACCTTCTCTTGTTTGAAACGCTGGGACTGGATTAACAACCGCAGAATGTACAGCCATTCCATACTCACATCTGGCTACAGGTTCATGACATTCCTAATGGATTTATATCAACAAAAATGGCTCAATCCATAGGCAACTACGTTGAGGAATTTGTAAGTGCTAATGAGACTAATTTCTCAAGCATGTGGCAAGGATTCATATGGATTCGTATTTTGATTGATACCCGAATCCCTCTTAAACGCAGGATGCATATAAAAAAACTTAGAGGAACATATGGCTGCGACTGACCTTCAAATACGAGCGGCTCCCCAATTTTTGTTTTACCTATGTATTATTGGTCATTCAAAGCGGTTTTGCAACCAATGGGCTGAGCAACTGGACCTTCTTCTGAACAATAATGGGCTGAGCAACTGGACCTTCTTCTGAACAATAGTTTGAGCCTGAATTATGTGCTAACTTTTGCCGAAATCAGTTGCCGGCCGATGACCAATGGCTGTTGAAGGATTTATATTGGCTGATGTGTGAGAGAGCAGTTATTCGGATGGGTAGTAGTTACATTTTTCACCAACCACTTCCTCAACAAAAGTAGGGAGACGTGGGAAGCATATAGCAGTTGGCAAAAAGAAAGTCAGTTATGTCTTATAATCAGAAGTTTCATCTAGGTTATGGCAACCTTTTTAGACCCCATCCTACTAATATTGGGCCCACACACTTTGAGAATGGGCTTCTAGTCTCAAATTGGAAACACGGGAGATGTGAGGAGGGATAAGCCTAATTAGCAATTGAGGATCATATGGGTGTTGCAAACATGACTGAATTGTTTATTGTTCTAGTTTCGATGGGTCCTAAGGTCCAAGCCCACCATGTGTTATGGGTATCCTAAGCTTGAACTATCATGGGCCGGGCAACCCACGCACAGTTCGGGTCCTTAAGGATATGGTGTGTACATACAAGCCCACTTTTATTTATTTATTTTTTGTTGAAACTAATGCTAGTAGATCTAAAGTTGAAGTTGTTTGTAAGGCACTCGGCTTTAAGGATGTTTTGTTGTTGATTGTAAAGGCTTGAGCGTTGGGTTTTGTTGTTGATTGTAAAGGCTTGAGCGTTGGTTCAGCTCTTTTACAGAAGAATAAAAACACTACACAGCTCATAAGTTACTCGCGTTATCATATAGATATTTCTATCCAACTATTTGACCAAATTGAATGATGGCTCATAGGATTCTATGGGCAACTGGATAGAAGTCAAAGAAAAAAGTCCTAGCACTTATTGACGAGGCTAAAACAAAAATCAGTCTTGCCTTGGTGTTGTATGGGGTATTTCAACGATTCATTAAGCTACTCAGAGAAGAGAGGTACTCACCCCCACCCGCAATGGTTGTTAGACGGAATGTTGTTCAATCCAGTGGTTTGTATGATATGGGTATGACTGGATATGATTTCACCTTGGAGAAGGGAAGAGGCACAATGAACTGGGTTGAGGAAAGGCTTGACCGTGTGTTAGCCTCTTCTTCTTGGTTGAATTATTTTCCAAAGGGTTAATTATAAATTTGGTGTCTGAACTTCTTAAAATTTTCTATATTGGTATTTGAACGGAAAATATTTGCAATCAAGTGTCTGAACCATCAAAAATTGATCAATCAAGTGTCTCCTACCCACGTGGACAGCTAGATTTCCAAATAGGACTATTTGGGCCCACTCATCTAATTAAAAAAAAGCTAACACGATGCCAACTTAGCTGTAGGGCTGACAAGGAATAGAAGCATGTGAGAATCACGTGATTTCTTTA